ATTCTTGTGACCTCAATGTGTGATTCAGGGGTGATATTGTAAGGAGAAATTAGATACTGGTCACTCTTGGAAGCCAAAGGGTTAATGTCTTCTAAAATCACTCCTCATCAACTCAATAAAACCACAGTTGTTCCATGGATAATAATAATTATTGTAGTTACAAGTGTGCTGTTTCCCTAAAAGAAAGTTACCTCACCTCTGGTGATTGTGCTGTTTTTAAACTATTTTTGTTGTGGTATTTACAATTTATTGTTCTTTTGTTGTGTAGCTGTCAGCTCTCCATGCAAGAATAAAAGAAATTACTGAGGCTGCAGCCATGTGTGGAGTCAACATCATCTGTTTTCAAGAATGTTGGAGTAAGTTATATTAGAACTAAGGGTGGGATATATCTGATTGTGTCCTTACAAACCTCTTGTAAATCTACATATAAAGAGAATGATGATTGACATGAGTACAAGGGCTGGAGATAGAGAGAGACATCGAAGAGTAAGGGTACAAGAAATACAGTACCTATAAGTAATCATCACCTGCCTTAACTTGACTTGTTCAGGTTGTTATAGGCTCTGTGCAGTAAGGGAACTGGAGATTGAAAATATAGTTTGTGTTATCTTATTTGTCAGGTACAAGCGACTCCAAATAGGCACCTGCTTGGTGGTAGAAGAACTTTTAATGATGGAGAATAAATAAAATCTTTAAATTTTTCCTTAAGTAGTTCTGCATCTCCTATTCCTTTTACATTTAACGACAATTATTACATTGCTTCTTGTAGCTGTTAGTTTGGCTCTTTTTAGGTTTAGAATATTATTTTTTCTCTGATATTACATCCTCCAATTTGTTTTTATCAGCCATGCCATTTGCTTTTTGCACCCGTGAAAAGCACCCTTGGACAGAATTTGCTGAGTCAGCAGATGATGGGCCAACTATTAAACTCTGCCAAGAGGTATGTTAGAGTACTGCTTCAGGCTTTTGGTCAGTCAGGAGGAACAAGAAAGGTATCTTGGTTATTAGAAACAGTATGGCTTTCTGGTAGCTAGGTAGTAAGTAAATGTATGTGCTTGTAAAGTGCTTGCTACCTGCTGATAACCAGTACATAAATGTCATTGCGCTCTCAACATGTGAGTATTTCTCTTTAAATTTGCTCAAATTAGTTGACTCCAAGGAACAATGAGCAACATAAATTGGAATACACCTCAAAATACAACTGCAACAGTCTAGAATTCCAAAATTTTGCAGCAGAGTTTGGACTTCCTTGGAAGCAGGAGGCTCTCCAGCTCTTCAAAACTATCTGCCTGTTATTCAAAACTACCTATTTCTACCTTATCTTATTGAA